CCCACAAAGACTTTCCAACTATGTCTATGTCTAGACGCCACATAACAAGTAGTCAAAAAATATGTTGATAACCTTTTTCCTCTTTAAAATGGAACAAGCATCGTTATTTTGGCAATCTGCAGCACAAGTGTGCACAGTACCTCTTCATCACGATACATGAAGTTCATGACACCTTCATGGTGATTATTGTGATGAGCACACTTGGGAGCATTAACGGGGAGCTGCAGATAGTTTGGCCCAAGACGGTGTCTCTGAGTATCAGAATATGAGAATATCCGAGTCTGGAGAAGCTTATCATCCGAATAGTGAATACCAGGGACAATAATGGCAGGGCAAAATGCAAGCTGCTCATTCTCAGCAAAGAAGTTGTCGATGTTCTTATTCAACACCAAGCGACCAACTGGTTGCAGTGGCAAGATGTCCTCAGGCCAGGTCTTGGTTACATCAAGGGGGTCAAAGTCAAATCTATCTTCATGATCAGGATCAATAGTTTGGATGAAAAGCTTCCATTCAGGATAGTTGCCAGCAGCAATTGCGTCATATAGATCCTTGGTGGCATGGCTATGATTGGCTCCCCCAACCTTAATAGCTTCTTCCTCCAAAAGGCACTTGACCTCGCAAGTTGGCTTCCAATGGAACTTCACATAATGTGCCTTCCCAGCTTTACTGATTAAAGTATAAGTGTTGACACCGGAACCTTCCATGTGCCTGTAATCTTGTGGGACACCCAAATCATCAAAGAGGAAGGTAAACATGTGCAAACTCTCTGGATGATGGGAGAAGAAGTCAAGGCTCCTCCAGCTCTCCTGAATGTTGGACTTAGGATTTGATTTCAGACAATGGACCATGTCTGGGAACTTCATTCCATCACGGATAAAGAAGACAGGAAAGTTGTTTCCTACCAGATCAAAGTTGCCCTGATTTCATAAAAACGAGCAAAAGAGTTGAAAACATAGAGACACATTAGTTTAAGACTAACACCAAACTAAGCAGCAAAGTTCATGTATGGTTATCTAAATGGGCATTGTTACAAAAATAAGATATAAGCCTGCTTTTGAGTAATGCTTCTAGCTTAATGGGTGTTGATTAAAGGATACTAGACAAGATAATGTTATAACAACCAGATTACACACACATTGTGAGAAAAGTCAAGTATTTGATTGCGCAATTACCTCTCTGGTGTAAAATTTTACCGCAAACCCTCTGGGGTCTCGAAGGGTTTCAGGGCTTCCGCGCTCATTGGTAACGGTAGAGAATCGCACAATAACAGGTGTCTGAACCCCAGGAGATCGAAGAAAATCAGCACATGTTAGATGAGAAACATCATGAGTGACTTCAAAGAAACCCTTGGCACTGGCACCTCTGGCATGGACAACACGCTCCGGGATACGTTCACGATCAAAATTGGCAAGTTTCTCCACCAAATGATAGTCCTCAAGAAGAACTGGCCCTGCAAAGTGAAGAGTTTCAAAATTAGTGAACATGTTTGAAGCCATTAAAAGAACCTCAATGAAGCAGAACTCAGGGCTTTAGAATGTTTGCATATATTACTTTTTGATTACTGTGGTGTACCAGGATCTTGGTCAAATTATCCAGAATTCACTAGAAATTTGAGACCGTTTCAGATGTTCCTTGGTATGTATTTCCAACAGCAGAATAATGAATCCTATTTGTATTGATCTCATAAAAAGAACTTTTGCTAGAAAGAAGTATTTCTCCTGCTTATAAAATATATAGACTCTCTCTTATTGATCTGAATGAATGCATAATAAGATTTTTCTCTCTTTTTTGTTTGTTTCATTTTGCAGNTTTGCAATTCAATTGATCTCTATGGATTATGCATTCATTCAGATTATTCAAAGCATGGAAATAGAGAAAAATAATGATATGATACTCTCCATCATGTAACATCGCCATCTATCGACCATCCAAGGTATCAAATCTTATTACTTTGTTTCTTGGTGACCATTAGGAAGAAAAAAGATCACACTAACAATATTTTCAGATCCACTTCCTACTCATATCAGATAACTGTTCAAAACCAACAAAAAAAGCTATCTATAAGTCAATAAACAAACTGGCCAATCGTTCTCTTTTCCTGCTGACTATCTAGGACAGACTAATATCAAGACAACATACTGGAGAATTTCTTATTAATTTCTGATGCAAGTACTGTTAATACTTTTAAAATGTTTGGGCATAAATACGCCCGAATAGAAGAAGTATACCAAAAAGTAGACAAGCTTCAAAAAGATATGATTTTCTGTGAACGATATCCAATCCTCTATACATAAAGGAATCTATGGTAAACCTAAAGAAAATAAGGGATATGAGGCTATTCCTCAATTGTACAAACTTCATCCTTACACTCTCAAAAGCTTTCATATTTCTCTCTCCCTAAATAACCCACATAAGTCCTAGTGAAGCAACATTTCATGGCCTGTCTCTTCCCTTCCATCTACTACACTTCCAACTGAGCATTAGCTCTTTCTCGGCGCCTAGCATCGCCAAAGTTATACCAAACCAACATAGAAATTCCCACCATAAACTCGAGCCTACACAACAATGAAGGAGGAAATGGTCAACGTCTTCATTCAATCACTTTCACACGAAGCGCCAGCTAGAATATGTCAACCTTCCTCTTCCTCGGATTTCTGGCCATCAATATCAACCTCTTATAGCTAACCAAGTGACGAAGCACGCCTTTCTTGAGCCTTTTATGTGGGAATGCAACCTCCTCCCTAGCCAAGAGCTTCTCGTAGTATGACTTACCAGTCAACACTCCATTGTTCCCCATCCTCACCTTCATACATCGTGGCTATCCTATGGTGTTCCTGGTTTGTGAAGAAAATCGACTAAGTCTTGGAATTCTGCCATTTTCCAGTCTTGAAAGTTCCTCATAAACCTCAACCCAAAAAAAAACTTTTTGGCATGAAAATTCTGTAAATGAATGAAACGTAAGTGTCAAAGTATTGTCCCCACACCACCTGTACCTCCAAAAATTTATCCTCCTCCCATCCTCTACCGTGAACTCTTCCCACCCCTTCAAAATGCTCCTGCACGATCCCCATGAAAACGGCATAGATACATTTTTAATTCTCCAAGCCCCTTCCAAGACCCCATATTTTTCCAATATGGCGCTATCACCCCTCTCCAAAAAGCATGTTCCTCCAAATCCTCATAACTATTTTCCTAATTTAATGAACCAAACACTTAATGCTTCACCTAATGGCCAAGATGCTAATTGTAAATAAGACACCTGACTGACAATTTACTAGGAGAAACTCAAATCAATTCATTTGCCAGCAGCATCTTAGTGCTGTGTTTGCATTAACAAGTCTAATTACTTATCAAAAACTAAAATAATATAACACTCATGCAAATATACATGAAACCAAGAGATCAAGATAGTATTTGGTTTTGCACACACCTAAACAAGAAGAATAGTGAGACGAAATAAATGTTATTAGACTTTATATACCATAAGGGACAGAAAGAAAAAGGAAAGATTGACTTTTACTTAATAAAAACAAAATACCTCTAGTCCCAACAGTCAATGATGAGTTATTGTTCCACACAGGAGCACCAGAATTTGTTGTCATGAAAGGTGAATTAAACGCGCTTGAAGGGCGATTCTGCATCATAAATCACTATCAAAGCTAAAACACAAGCAACCGAAAATCCACTAAAACGAACTAATAAATTTAACTTCATCAATTTTCCACTATAAAACCTAAAATTCACAACAAATCTAGTCTCTAAAAAGGAAATCTTCTGCTATTAACATAAAGCTAAACTAAGATTAATGAATCCAAGCGGATTATTCGAAGCTTATAAAAAACAATTCAGAGATTAAAGGATCAATTAGACAGAAATCGTAATTAAAGATCATAGATTTGTATGCATAAACCTTAATAATACCTTGTACGGATCCATGGCGAGAAAATATGAGCGAGCAGAAAGCAAGTAGTGTTGAGTCAATGGTGTGGCGATTAGTTAAGTTTGATGTTTTCTTAAAAAGAGCAGCTAATTTATAACAACTTTTTGGCTCGCGATTCTATTATTTTACAGTTGGAAATAATATCCTTTTCAGTAAAAAATAATATCCTTTTATTATCCAATTCTATTATTTCACAGTTGGAAATAATATCCTTTCCAGTAATAAATAATATCCTTTTGTTATCCATCACTTTCCGGCAACATTTTTTATTTGCTCTATGAAAAAGAATATTAGGAATATCACCGGATAAAGGATATAAAACAAGAAATTATCTTGGCATTTACTATAAGATCTTACAAGTTATAAGCTGTGACGTTCTCTCTTTATGTCTTCGTTATCGTGGAAATAATATAACATACGTAACTTTTTACAATTTTAATATAAGCATAATCACATTCACTATTTTTCTGAGACGTGGTATAATTAATTCAAGTTGAAAATTAAGGGTATAAGTGCATTTGGTGTGTGTAATTAATTATATCCATTTTCTTGATCTCTTGCCGATTGTGATAACCTAGAACCATCATACCATATTGTGCATAGTTTTCTTGGACCTGAGACAATGATGACAATAATTGTTCATCAAAAAGTGTTAAGCTCTTTTTAGTCAAACTAATTTACTAATGAATAAGGGGTAAATCCTAACCAAAGATAATTAACTCTAGATTAATAAATGATAAGTGAGAAAAGTTGAGTAAGGTTAGGCTCATGAACTCATTAAGATAATGGAAAAAATCTAATCTATATGATGAGCTTACATTCATTCTCGACATCGTTAATCCACAATGTAAAATAAAAAAGAAAACTTTTACCATTAATGACCACGGGGTATGTCTTTATTTATTCCATAACGATGGCTACAGAAGATGAATAACAAAGTTCTGAACCCTCTTTTATTTTCGAGATGGATTCTCCTATTCCTTGTTAGTGAAAAGTGTGTGATTTGTCAAAAATCTTCTCTTTCTTTGTTCTCTCACTTAGTATATATACTAGGTATTCTCATTTACACAACGGTCATTAGCCAGAGTACCTATCATTTAACTGTATTACAGATTGACCCTCTGAAATGTCGTAACATCCAATTCACCGTACAAGTATTCTGAGTGCACAACCTCGGCCGTGGCCGAGGTGCTTGTTGTTATAGCATTGTACGAATACAACTTCGGCCCAAGTGACTTTGTCATTCCTCTTCACGCAGATTCTTGTTTGGTCAGATTTCAACCCATACAATAATATCGATGGTAAAATCAATGATATTTATATTATGGTTTTTGATCTGTGATAGCTTGATTATTATATGATCTTAAATTGTCAAATTATGTGGAGCTCTAGCAACAATACAGTGACACATTATGTACCCATGTGCATTTTAGTTGAATTTGACATTGATATAAATTCAATGAAACTTGTTAGAAACAAAACGGTTTATTTAATTAAAAATAAAATAGATTATGATACTCAAACAAGCATTATCTTTGCCGCCACCATCAAAGGATGTGGTGCAGTGGATGAGACTGTTTTTTTCTTAACCAGATGTCTCGGGTTCGAGCCTTGAGTATGGAAAAATCCTTGGTAGAGAGCGTTTTTCCCCCGAATGGGGCCCCACATTGTGAATCCAAATATAGTCGGGCTCCAATACGGGTATCGGACACCGAATGAGAAACCAAAAAAAATTATCTTTATTGCCCAATCATCATTTTAAAAAGTATTTTCTGGGCGAGTTCCAAGCCGAGACCGGGGATGAAGTGCGCTAAAAATGTGCAAAGCATACTGGTAAGGCCAAGTATCGTGAGACATAAGTTCTAACGTCGGCCCCTCCTAATCAGAAAAATTGACACCAATACCGTAGTTGCAATCATATGAGGACCCATGAGTTAGTTTTTTACACTTTTTTTGTTTCTGGTGTGTTTGTTTCTTTTTGTAATAAAAGAATTTTCACGTATAATGAGATGGGGTCAATATAAAAGTTTATTGAGAGGACGTGAAGAGTTGATAATCGACTTTTGGAGTATAGGGGGAGCTACTTCCCAACCACCACTTGTGACAAGTAAAAGGACCTTGAAACGTGTGCAATCCCCATGTGGGCTTGAGAATAGCTATTTTGGACACTTTTATTAGATGTGGACACAACAAATGAGAAAAGATGCGGATGATAATAAGGGATTAACAGGACGGCTTCTTTGTCTACTACCTCGACAAATTCCCATCACCAGCCTTCATTTACAACATCCTTCATTTCTTTCCAAAGAAAGTGACGGATTTCAGAGCAGGTAAAAGCTATTCAGGTCAGTTTCAGCATAACATCTGTTCCAAGTGTTGTGCACGTTGCACAAATAGTGTATACATTTTTATATTCCATCAAGCAAATTTAGATGGGATCGAAAATAATATGACTGTCATGCGGAAGCTAATAAAATAAATATTGGTGACGATAAATCTTACAACAAAAATAATTATACTAAAAAGACATAATATATTATAATATTATTTTGGTTAATTGACATACATATGAGAAAACTAATATCAAAATATAAAAAATTATAGAGAGAATAATCTCTCCCTAAGCAAAACTCTCTTAAGGGATACATTGTGGATGCTATAGTGTTGTTGTGTATGAATGTGAGATCCTCAATTTATAGAGGTCACAACCTTTTCCTCCAACAAATGGGTCTGTTAAAATATAGAAGATATCTTCCTTTAAGGAAACGTAAAATCGATGATGGTAAATATTCTGTCCATTTAAGCAAAAGAAAAAAATTCAAATATAGTAAGAAGATCAAGGCAAACCTTAACAATACAAAAATACCCCGTTAATTTATTTTTAGAATTTTTAACTATACATCTAAGTTTTCCAGATTACCCCTTAAAATTTCTTAGCGTGAAATAAATTCCCCTTTTTACGAGACAATCAACACTTGTGTTGAGGGATGAAATACAAGCTGAAATCAAAGCTTGATGCGTGTATTTTACTACTACTTAATAGTGGAGGTAGGGGAGTTGGAAAACATGATGAATTGTAGGAATTATTAGATGAATTTTGTTGGATCCAATATGGTATTTAATTATTTATAACCTATTGATTGATAGGAATGATATGGACGAGTTAAGATTTCAGCTTATAGATTAAAATGAAGGTATGGGTGGCTTAGTTAGAACCAATACCTAAAGGCCTAAATATATTATTCCGAGTTGAAAATAATATAATTGTAATTGCGTGAACTGACTATTGTTAGAACTAGTGGCGTAGCCCTTCTATGTCAAGGGTGATCAAGCACGCACTCTTCGCCAAAAAATTATATTGTGTATACAAGTATGATTATATGTTATATTTGAAAACCCTTAACATAGTTAAGTGAGCAGTTCAGCGGTTCAGGATGCTCAAAGTGACGTGTTGTTTACGAGTTCAAAGATCCATTCATTTTATTTGCCAAAGCTAAAAGGAGACCACCACGTGTGGTCTATTTGATTCTTTTTCAATCTAAAAATTTTCTTAATAAAATAACTGTGATGACCCAAAAGGACTTGTTTTAGAAATAAATTCTATGTTCCGAGGCCTTAAAAACCTCTTTTTGTCTCACTTCGATTTACGTGTGCAGTCCGAACGTGTATCCGGAAAGCCATTATGTGAAAATATGTGAAAAATGATAATTTTTGCTTTTAAAATGAATTTAAGATGACTTCGGTCAACATTTTGGGTAAACAGACCCTCCCCGGAGGGTCCGTAGGAAATATGGGACTTGGGCGTATCCCCGGAATTGAATTCCGAGGTCCCAAGCTCGAGAAATGAATTTTTGAAGGAAATTGTTTAACTCAAATTATAAGAGTTTTTAGAAATTGGAATATGTTTGAATTTGATGGTATCAGGCCCGTATTTTGGTTCTGGAGCCCGGTACAGGTCTTACATGGCATTTAAGTTGAGCCTGTAAAGTTTGGTAAGAAACAGACTTAAAATGACGTGAATCGGATCATCGGTTGTTAAAAATGGAACTTAAGAGTTTGTGAGATTTTTCTTTGATTTTGATGCTAAAATCCATAGTTATTGATGTTATTTTGATGATTTGATCGCACGAGCAAGTTCGTATGATGTTTTTGGACTTGTGTGCATGTTTGGTTTGGAGCCCCGAGGGCTCGAGTGAGTTTTGGATAGGCCACAGAGTGAAATTTGACTTAGAAAATTGTTGGTGTATTGCAGGCCTGCAGGCTTTGCAAATGCGAAACTATATCGTAAATGCGAAGATGGACTGGGCAGGCCTTGATCGCAATGCGACCAATTCATCGGAAATGTGAAAAAGGCCAGAGTCGCAAATGTGACTTATTTTTCGCAAATGCGAAGATAGCAGGTCCTGAAGGGGTTCACAATTGAGAACTCTGGTCACAATTGCGACATCAAAGACCAGTTAATTGGGACTTAGATGCATTTTCATCCATTTTTCAAACCTTCTCAAAACCTAAACACTTTTGGGCAATTTTCTAAAGAAAAGTTCATCTCCAAACCAATTGTAAATCATTTCTAACTCATTTTCTTTAATCTAAACATCGTTTCACATGATTTCAATCCAAAATCAAGGATTTTTACGAGGGAAATTGGGTGTTTTGGGTAGAACTTAAGATTTTTAAATTTTGGGGATTTGGACCTCGATTTGAGGTTCAATTTCAAAATAAATTATATATTTGAGTTCATGGGTGAATGGGTAATCAGATTTTGGTTCGAAACTCGGGTTTTGACCATGTGGGCCCGGGATCGATTTTTGACTTTTTAGGAAAAACTTTAGAAAATCTATTTTCATGCATTGGAATTGATTCATTTAACATTTATTGATATAATTAAGTAACTTGTGGCTAGATACGAGCGTATTGGTGGTGGAATCAAGAGGTAAAGCGATAGTTGAGACTTGAATTGTGTTCGTGGCATCGAGGTAAGTGTTTGGTCTAACCTTAGCTTTAGGGATTAGGAGTCGTGTCTTATTTGCTATGTGTTAATTGTTGAGTACGATGTATAGGCATGGTGACGAGTATCTATACGTTGGTGTCAA